AGAGAGAGAGAGAGAGAGAGAAGAGAAGCGGCCCAAGAGACAGGCCGGCCTACGAACGACGCCAGGGCCCCACCTCCCTGCGGAAACCACAGGGTGAGCACTGGGGACAGGAGGGTCTGCGGGGAAGGGGTGTGCCCAGGGGTCTCCCACCCCATCCTCCTCCCCCCACCAACAAACCCCCAGGCTGGGCTGTTCACTCTCTCATCTTGGTTTGGTTCATGGCGAAGGCTTTTGTTCCTTTTTTTTGGCTAAAAAGAATGCAGAGATGTGCCCCCTCCCCCACCCTCAACCACGCTCCACGGTGTGGCTTGGGGGCCACCCAGACCCCCTTGTCCCAGGCCTCCCCAGCACCTAGGTGGGCCTGGGGGTGGGGAGGGAAACAGGTTTAAAAATCCCCAAAAAAGCGAGCTGTGAGGAGGGGTGTGGGCACCCCCGGCCCAGAGCCCCTTGGTGGAATGTGGGGAGAGGGCGGTGGGGCTGGAAGCAGAGACAAAATGAAAAAAAAAGGGGGGGTGGGAGGGGAAGAAAAACTCTATTTTTGTAAAAAGGGAAAAAGATCTCGTGGAGAATTTTTACTGGGGATTCTTGAACTTGAAAAAAAAACAAAAAAAAAGACAAAAAAAAAAAAGAAAATATTTTGGCAGGTTATGTTTACCAACTGGGGCGGGGGAGGCCAGGGAGCAGGTCTTAGGATCGGGGAGTCCACGGGGCCACAGAGACACCGCCACGAGAGACATACCACGGGAACATGCAGACAGATGCAGAGACACGCCCGGGAGACTGTAGGGGACTCATTGGCCAAAGTCAGACACGTGGACAGGGACGGATGGCAAGGGACAGGGGCTGGGGCTGCGTCAACGTGGACATGCAAACACGTGGGCACGCGAATACGGCCCCCCATCCATGTGCTTGGGTGGGAGTGGACAGATAGACTTGGACATCAAATCTGGACACCCACAGAGAAACGCCAGTGACACCCAGGGACAGAGGCATGCCATGGCATCCCACGGCCCAGGCAGGAGGCCCCACCCCAGGCCCCACCCCATCATCCCTGTGCTCTCTGGGCCCCCATACCCTGACCCCAGGCTCTCTGCAGAGCTCTCTCCGGGACCCTCGGGGGGTCTCCTTGCTGCCCACGAACACAGGCGCGCTCACGCAGCGTCCATGCATCCAGACACACAATACCTCGGTCCACTCTGGCATCATGGAGGGCTGGAGGCAGCCACCCCCAATACTTGAGGCCAAAGGACCCCCCCGTTCCCGGGGCTCAGCCTCCCTGGGCCGAGGCCTTGGCCCACGGAGCCGAGGGGGAGGCCCAGCCCTGAGCCTCCCCCACCAGGGCCCAGCCTCCCCAGCAGCAAGCCCCCAGCACCCCTGCCAGGCCCTGGTGGACAGGCCCAGGGGCCTGGCCCCAGACACCCTCCCTGTCCACCTGTCCCTTACCCCTTTCGGTTTGTTGGGTTTTTCGTCTTTCCAGATGGGTGAGGGCAGTGTACACCGCCCCCCGCCATTCCGAGCCCCAGCCCCGGCTTCTGTCTGGACCTGGCATCTCCCTAGTTTTCTTTTTACAAAATGAATTCCAACAGAAGCCACAGGCCGGAGCTCCACCCTCGGGCCCATCAGAACCGAGAACTGCAAAGCCCCTACTTTAGCTGTAGTTAAGTCATCTCCCCCACGTCCCTCCCCTGCCCCCGGTGTCTGGCCTTGGTCCCTCTTGAGTGTCCAGCTCTCTCTCCCCCACCCCTCCCGGTGTTGTTATTAAACGTCTGTGGAGCTTCTGCTGCAAGGAACAAAAAGAAAAAAAAAAATCAAAAAAGCTACAAAAAAACACAAACAGAAGAGGAAAAAAAAAAGCGACAGAAAAAGAAAAAAACACACACACACAGAAGAGATTTTTAAAAAAGGAAAAAAAAAGACATAAACTGGCACCAGTTAACTTTCTTGTACTTTTTTGCTGAATTTAGCTTCTTGTAGTTTTAACTTATTGCTATGTTAACTATTTATTGCCCTGTTGCCCTGTAAGGACATTTGTGTATATTTCTGTTATTTCATCCAGTTTGCAAGTTAAAGGAACGACGATGTTCTCTTTGTTTCTTTAAGTTTTGCCGAGATGTGGTTATGCCTAATTTATTTATAAAAGGGGAAGTGGAGTCATTAAAGTAATAATTATTAATAACAGTAATGGTAGCCATGTGGCACCCGGGGGCGTGTGCTCCGCGGGGCGGTCCCCGTGGCTGGCGACTGTCCCCCCCTCCCGGGGTCTCCATGGGATTATTTTTGCTCTTGTCTTGAGAATTTTTTCAGTCCTATTTAGCTGGTGAAAACCCTAGCTTGTTCTTGATACACGAACCTATTTATTCTTGTGGTTTTAAGTCCTCCCTGCCCTCGCCCCCTCCCCTCCAGCAGGGCGGGGACCACCCCCCTGCGGGTCCCCCCGTCTCCCCCGCTGTTTCTTGGGGCTTTCTCCCCTCCGCCCTCCGCACGCGTGCAGGAGGCGTCTGAGCAATAAGGGCTGGGTTTGTCCCCCACCCTGGGGGGGCCAGGCTGCAGAGAGGGGGCATCTCCCCACACCCCCCACAGAGGCCTAGGCCCCTGTCGCGACCCCCGAGACTGGGAGGGGGACTTCTTTTTCTAAAACACAAAACTCAGCCCAGCCAGGCCCCCTCCCTGGAGGCCAGCCCCTCACCCCTGGGGGCCAGGCCAGGGCTCCCAGAGAGGGGTCCTTGGGTCTTCCAAGACCCTGGGGGTAGGGCCAGGGCCGGGGGAGGGGGCTCAGCCCCTCCAGCCCTCCCTTCATCCTGTTATTTATTCGGAAGGTTTCAAATCACGACAAAGTCCATGTTGGAGGTGAAAGAACTGTTAAAAAAAAAAGACAAAAAAAAAAACCCAACAAGAACACTTTGCGTTGCGTTTAGACTATTTATTACCGGGATTACAGGCCTGGCCGCGGTAACAGACTTTTACATGGAATTGTTTAATTATTTGTACTTTTCATGCCAGAAAATAAAAGTTCAGAATCTTACCGCCTCGGGCTATCTGTGCGTGCTGACATCCTACCTGTGAGCCCTGCAGAGCATTGCAGGGGGCGGAGCCAAGGGGAGGGGGCGGAGCCTCAGACAGGGGGCGGGCCAGAGGGAAGATCAGGCTTGGGACAGCCGATCTGGTCACGCGGGGAGGGACGGTCGGCGAGCGGGGAGGGGGCGGAGGCGGGGGCGGGCCAGAGCCCAAATGGGGCAGTCGGGTGGGAAAGGCGGGATGGGGTGGAGCCAGGGATGGGGCGGAGTCGGGGCGGGAGGGGCCCCTGATCTAGTGGGGGTGGAGCCAGGGGAGGGGCGTCAAAGCCAGTGGGGAGAAACCAAGTAAGTGGGGGCCAGGGCTGTGAGCGTCGTTTTTAATCCAGTGGGGGCGAGGTCGGGTGAGACTCGGGGAGGGTAGGACACAAGGGAGGCTGATGGGAACGGCCCAAGGCCCATCCACTGGGCATCTCTGGGGGCAGGCCAGGCTGACAAGGCCTCCCCCGGGACACCCCACCCCTCGACGGTGGGGAAGCCCTGCAGGACCTGCAGACAGTCTTCCCCACATTCACCCTACGCGCGCCGGCAAAGCGAGGCAGCCACAGTTCGGGTGGGGGATCACCTTTATTGTTTTCAGGTCACAGGTCAAGACACTCCCTCATCCCCACCAGGAAGGCAGGCAAGAGCAGGGGCCGGGTGACTTGACCAGCCGTGGCGAGGGTGCCAGGAGGGCGAGCTCCTTGATCCCTCCTCGGAGGCGGCTGGGGCCTGGGAGCGTGGCTCTTCCCCACCGGGCCCCGGGGGCAGCAGGCACAGGGACCCCCACAGGTCTTGTGCCCAGAGAAGGGCAGGCAGGTCCAGGGGCAGGCCTTGGTCCACGGCTCTGAAGGAGCTGGTTTCAAGCCTTCTTGAGGTTCTAGTGTGCAGAAAAGACCACATTGGGAAGCTGGGGCCACACGCCAGGCAGGGTGGCACGCGCCTATAACCCCAGCACCTTGAGAGGCTGAGGCAAGGGATCGCTTGAGGCCAAGAGTTCAAAACCAGCCTGGGCAGCATTGCAAGATTCCATCTCCATTTCTTAAAAAACTTAAAGGAAAAAGCTGAGATACAGGCCAGGAGGGGTTCAATGTGGACCCACCTTCCTCGGTCCCTACAAAGTGAGGTGGCAGACATGTCTCAACCCACCTCTGCACTGGCCGGCTAGAGCTCATCGTGGTCGCCATCAGCAGGAGGCTCAGGCGGCGGCTCCGGGCAGGCGGCCGGTGTCATCAGCTCCATGAGGTACTCGCAGCGGCTGGGCTCAGTGGTGCTGGTCACCATGGTCTCCTTCCCGCACAGCAGACGCACCTAGAACAGCAGGCAGCACTCAGGCCACCCCAAGGGCCCGGGTCCGGGCCCCTCCCACCGGCCACCCCCCCCCAACCCCGCCGGCACTCACGGTGGTGGAGCGGTTGGGGCCCTGCCAGCAGCCCGTGCCCTGCTCATACTTCATGGCGCTGAACTTGTCGTGCTCGGGGCCAGCCCAGGAGCCCCAGGTGCTGCGGGAGAGTCGGGTGCTGAAGCCCAGTGGGCTGGGGCACCGGGAGGAGCAGAGGGAAGGAAAGCTGAGCCCACTCACCCAAGGTTGGTGGGGGACCCGCCCGGCTTGGGCTTCTGCGAGACGAGCTTGAAGGGGCACAGCCGGTAGACGTACCTGGGGGAGCAGGGTGGCGGGAGCCTCCTGGCACACAGGGCGCCGCAAGCCCACGGACTGACCCAACACCGGGCCTACTTCCTGCTTCCCGCAGGGTGGGCAGCAGAGCGGGATCCCTGCACCCAGACAGCCCTTCGGGAACCCCGCAGGCCCCACCCGCCTCCAGGCCGACCCGCCTCCCACTCGGCCATGGGGCCTCTGTCCCCTGACGCCCACACGCACTCGTTGGTGGTGAGCTCGTAGCACTGGCTGTACAGGTAGGCGAACTCCCCGTTGGGGCCAAAGTCAAAGGAGATCTCCTGCTCCAAGTTCCTGAGGGGAGGCAGGGCAGTTAGGGGCAGCTGAGGACGTCAGAGCCTGACGCAGGAGGACAGACACAGAAGGCCAGACTGGGCGGTGGGGCCGCCAGAGGGCCGCCCTCCCCAGCCCCGGTACCTGATGGACTCCTCCATGTCCTTCAAGGAGCGCTCCGCCTCCTCGAACTTGCTGCGGGCCTCCTGGGCAGCTG